CGATTAAGAGTACTTTTGTCCGTTTGAGATATTTATAATAATATATTTGTAATTTTTGCAACAAAGGATATTTTTCATTACAATTATGCAAGGTGTAGTATGTAGAACGCAATTAAAAAAAACATGTATGCAAAATATAATTACATCTTATATACATGGTGTATTAGGTAATGTTTTCTATATTTAATTGATTTTTTTCATATAGTGTCAAATATGTTCATAAAACACCGTAGATACAAGAAGTATTTAAGGTTATTTTTTTGCCATTTAACAAATTACAATATTTTTGTACTATTTCATTATTTACAGCCAACGCATTTTTAACAATCGTGATGTGTATAAGCAAAAAACGTATATTTTCATACATCTTCTCATATATGTTCCGATCTCCAAATCTATGTTATTCCTTTTGTCTAGTAATTAAAATTAATCAAACATGAGGCACTATTACATAGCATAAGAATTAAGAATTCAGTTTATTTTGTTCTTTAATATTGTTCATTTCATCTTTACAAACTATTAAGTCTTGGCAATTTCTAAATTTGTAATTGACAATTTCTTTAGTCAAAATTAATTCATAGTTGAACTATATTAGGATTTAGTTATTTTGTACTCAAAGTCAAATTAGGATTAGAAAAGTCCAAGTTATAAAAAAATTAGTATAGGGGTGATAGAATCCAAAAAGAAGTAAAAAACATCCGAGAAGAAAATCGAGATTCGAACTTGAAGTTGAAATCGAGTAGGACGCAATTTCGCTAACTTGTTGCCCAGCTGGCGCTCGAGCAACAAAAATAGAATCGATGTTGCCCGCCTAGCGCTAGACGATGCTCCCGGTCTAGCGCACGAGCGATAGGTCGACGTCTAGAATCCTGTTTGTTTTAAAACACGTGATTTTCATCCCTATTTCAACCCAAACACTTTCCCCTATATATATATGTATATCATATCCTATGAATGTCCAACGTTTGTTGAATCAAATTTTATTCCATAGAGATCAATTCTTTGATGATCCAAAACATTCGTTAATTTCAAAATTCAAACACCACATATTAATTGATCCTTAAATTCTTCTAAAACATATTTTGTTGATCAAGTCTTATTTTTTTTATATTAAACCACAAATCAAAACACACAAGATCTTTTGATCAAACACCAAACCACTTTATCCACCGGAGATAAATCGATACCAGGGATCGGGAGCTGTTATATAAGCACAAATTCAGGAGGATTAAGGTGAGGTGCCATGAGTGGGGATTCGGCGTCAAGAGAACACAGTCCAGAAGGATTAAGGTATAAACCAGGAGTCGAGATTTGTTTTGAAGGAGCGCGCTTCCAGTAGGATCAAGTGAGATTACAGGAATTGGGGTCAAAAGTTCTATGGGTAGACGAGTTTGGACCGTACTATAAGTTTGCTTCAATTTATAGTGGATTACTGATGTCAAAGTACCCGAAATTTTTACTCAGTTAGAATTTTTTCGTGATCATCTTTGATGTACTTTACTGTTTTAATTATTGATTGTGATATACAAACTTAGGATAAATTGACTTGTTTGATCTAATTATCTAGAAACAGTTAAAAAATGACTTGTTACTTTTAATTGTGTAATTCCGCACGTGGGTCTAAATAATTTAAAACTTTTACAAACAAACCAACAAACTGTACATACTTTCTTCTAGAGGCAAGAATCCCAATCATGTACATACTTTCTTCTAGAGGCAAGAATCCCAATCATGAAACGAAACGAAATAGTATTTGTCAAATAAGGTTCGATTGAATGCTCATTTATAATGTGATCAAATTCTAAATGGACATTAGAGTAAATACAAATTTGATTGCCTCTCTCCTAGGTAAGTACTATGTTTTTGTTTTTGTTTTTATTTTCAAATGTCAACAAAATGGGCCACATATAGTTAAAAATAATGAATAGTAATGTAATACCACCCTTAGAAACACCAATATTTCCTTAGCAAACAATTCTTAATCACGGGTTTCAAGATTTACTAAATATCATTAAGCCATAAGCATGTTTATAGTTAGGGCCGGCCCTAAAATTTTGGATGTCATGTACGACATTTTAAAATGGTCTCCATTTCATAAAATTAAAAAAAAAAAAAATTTCAATAATATTATATCATCGCAAAATTAAGATATTTTAATACTGTTTATATTTTACACGTAAAGTTCAAAAGCACTTCCCAAATTTCATCTAAAATCATATGTCATCAACAAAGACACATCCAAGCCACTAAACTCTTCGTGCAATTCTATATGAGCAAACCTTGAAATCAGAAACATCAAATATCACATGTAAACTTTGAAATATAACAAATCATGTAAAAATATTTCTTCTCGTATTTCTAGAAACAAACTCACTAATTAAACTTTCGTA